ACAATTTGTTATCAATACAATATCATTTGACAGATGGAACTAGCAAAGATGCATACAATATTACAACATCAAGTGTTGTCTAGGATGTTCTTGTCTAAGATGACCTCAGAAAGATGATATTACAGGCAAGATCTAGGGAGGAGGTGTGAATGGGAAGGGCAGATATTTTTGGTTTTGTGCTCAAAATGTTGGAGTGGGTGCTTTTGTGCTGCACATTTCCTGCCATGTATTTGCTGGTTCAAATCATCAGTATAGCAACTCGGCCTGCAACCACTCCTTCATCTGGATCTGCCTGTACCTGCTCTGGTTTCTTTTCTTTCTTTCTTGTTTTTTCATTTTGGTTTTTGAGACAGGGTTTCTCTGTGGCTTTGGAGGCTGTCCTGGAACTTGCTCTTGTAGACCAGGCTGATCTCGAACTCACAGAGATCTGCCTGTTTCTGCCTGTGCACCACTAATGCTCGGCCCTGCTCTGATTTCTTGTCCAGACAAATGTTTAAGTCTGTGATCAGAGGCACCTTTTTCATTGTGGATGCAGGCAGTGAGAATGGCACAGACTCCAGTCAGTTCTGATAGGCTTTTGACCATATCCCCCATTCCCAACAGCTTGCCCTGCCAAGTCTGAGCCCCAATATCACACATACCAGTTAATGTAACAATGCATGGCCAGATCTCAACAGTGCAGGTTTTCATTAGTTAAATACATAATCTCACATCCTAGCTGTTATTTGACCTGCCTTACAAGATAAACTATAAAATAATCTTAAACAAATATGGGAAAATATTAGTACTATCCAACCTGAAAGTACATGCATGTTTGTGAATTATTCTCTACATTATTTGAAGTGCTTTAAAATTATTTTAAAATTTTTAAGTAGAATGCATAACAAATAAAAAAGTGTTATTAGATAACGATTTCTCCCTGGTGAAGTCCAGAACAAAGAAGGGCCCAGCACCACAGGGTATGGTTCTGAACTCAAAATGAGAAACTGACAAGCATGTATCAAGGATCTTATGTTGCAGATGTTAAAAATAAAATATGAAGCTGTTGATTTGTGACCATTGTAACAGGTCCCCAACCTTAGTACAACCGATGTCAGGTTGAAGGCACCAGTCTGACCTTAGAACCCAGCACATAGGCTCCAACACCTGCCAAAATAGGAACAAAGACCAAATCCATCAAAGACCTAATCCATAGTTCCAGGATCCTGTAAAGTCCCTAAATATACTAACCTTGCCTTCTGGCTTATGTAGTTTGACTTCTTGCTAACTGTTCTTGGTAACCAAAGTATGTCAACTAGGATTGATGTTTGTGCATAAAAGACAAAGGACAGTGAGGCTTCATGATTTGGGCAATTCCCTGTGCAGCATGGCTACTGACTGGCAATACAGACTTTCTCTTGGGCTTTAAGAGTGTCCAAGTATGTTCTATGGCAGAATTACCTCTCAACACTATCACAGCATCTAAAATTGCCAAGACACAAAACTTGGTGATAATATACATTTGGGCAAAACAAGGCTATGTGCATATTTACTTAAAAATTCTGGAAGGATATACACCAAAATATGAGTCTGGTAGACATTCTGAAGAACTGTTTTGTTTTCCTTTCTTTTCTTTTTTCCCCCTCCGATTTTCTTTTTTCCCCTATAATCATCAAAGACTATCTGTGGCATGCCCATAATTCTCAAAAATGCAGACATTGATTTGTTTAAGCTTGGACAAGGAAGCCAGAGAGAAGATCTGTGTACCTGTGTTACCTATTCGTCATAAAGTATCTTCCAACTGAGGTGAGGACACAATCTAAGGATCTAAAAATCTCCATGTCTGAGAACTATGCCAATTATTAGTACTAGGTGTGGGGCAACTTAAAACCTTCAAACTGGAACCCATAGGGAGAGCTATAAATACTTCTTTAATCCATTCAGTCTATGCTGGACTCACATTTATGTTGGTCAAATAAATAATTGAATGTTAAAGACTAGGGAAAAAAACCCTCTAAATTTGCAAAACAAACTTTCACCTCCAAAGGCATGGTGAGGTCTGAGGGGTCATTTGCATAAGCTCACTTGACCATTTTGCAGCAGTGTAGGGTGCCAGGGCCAGAGTTCTTTCTACTCTAGTCACATCATCTCCTTTCACATTTGTAATGACTTCTTTTGTGCTTCCTTGGAAGGTGACACCTGCTCTGTCAGGGCACTGTCAAAGAGCGATGGGTGACCTTGCCAGGCATGCTGTAATTGGGATCTAAATGCTGTGGAAGTATCAGACTAGATGCTTTCCAAACCATGCTCCACTTCCTGAAATACCCTAGATCCTAAGAAGCTCTTTCTACCGCCTGGACCTCTTGTATCCCACAGCTTCACCAGGAGGAAAGTACCTGAAGGACTTCAGCTTTATCTCTGTTACACATGTGGGCAGTCCAAGGAAACCATTGTTCCTGAGAATATAACTGAGGCAAGTGTGGCTCAGGGCCTCACCCACTTAAACTGGTATAAGCAAAAGGCTACAAGTGCCCAGTTCATCATAACCCTCAAGGAGGCCTGTGATGGCTGTTCTTGCTTGTCAACTTGACTACATCTGGAAACACTAAAACCCAAGTGGCTGGGAACACCAGTGAGGGATTTTTTTTTTCTTAATTAAATCATTTGAAGTGGGAAGAGCCTCTTTTAACCCAGATCTTTTGAAGCAGGAAGATCCACCTTTAATCTTGGCCACACCTTCTGTTGACAGCCTGTATAAAGGAGTAGGAAGAAGGACGCACTTGCTTTTTGCCTCCCTGCTCTTGCTTTCACTGGCAAGCTCATTCCTTCACTGGCATTAGAGCCTATTTCTTTGAGATTCTGATGACCAACTACTAGATTCTTGGATCTTACATTTGTAAAGAGCCATTGTTGGACTAGCTGGACCACAGCCTGTAAGCCATTCTAATAATATATATATATATATATATTTATATATATATATATATATTCTTATATATATGTCATATATAGGTCATATATATATTAGGTCATATATATATAATAGGTCATATATATAATAGGTCATATATATAATAGGTCATATATATAAATATACATATACATATACATATATACATATATACATATATACATATATATATATATATATATATGTTCTGTTCCTCTAGAGAACTCAGACTAATACAAGGCTCAATCAAGCTCTAAGCCCAGAAGCAGCATAAAACTTATTCCAACTCACAGAGAACCCTGGCAGCAAGCCATTATGTTTTGGAGTCACCATTAGAAAGCTATTACTAGATACAAATAAGTTCTCTTCACGGCTGACCCATCTAGATAAGAACAGATTCTCCTCATGGCTGAACCCCTGTGTTGCTGCAGGCTGGGCTTAGACTATGATACAGTAATGTGTATGGTGTGACCCTCATCACTTGTTTATACCAGGGACTTCAGAGGAACCAGCTATCATCTCAGCTGGAGGAAGGAACATGGGGACAGAGATAGCCCACACCTACAAGACACACTGTCACCCACTGCCAATAGCACTCTAACACCTGACAAATCCTGACTATATGTCAATCAAGGGTTAGTGAGGAATCAAGATCATGGGCTTGGAACTCTTCCTCAACAAACTACAATGAAATAGGTGGATCATTAATAAAACTTTGAGAGGACTGAGGGTGGGCTGTACATCAGCAGTAAAGCTCTTGTATAAAAAGCTCAAGGCTCTGGGGTTGGAGCTCCAGCTGCCAGTGAAGGAGTAAAAAGTACAGGAAAGTTAACAGGTCCTGACCCAGAACACTGTCTTTTCAGTACCACAGGCAAGAAAACTTCATTCTAAGTTGGTGGAGACCTGGCTAAGCAAATAAGAAGACTCTAGCACAGGAAGTGGAGAGTGGACAGAGAGGTGGCCGAAAAGGTTTGCCAGGAGAGGGAGTGTATACTTGGAATTCCTGGTTAGACAGTCAAAGAAACCGTTATACAAAGATCAGACACCACAGTTACAATTCTAGTTTTCCGTATTAACTAATTTTTATTCTGCTAAAAGAAGATTTTCCATATACCATCACTAGAACCACTTTTTTTCTGGCTGGTGGTGAAATCAAGTGAATTTTTGAAGTTTTAATGGGAAAAGAGAATCAGTTAAGTCAACTTTTACATCACTACCCCACTTCCTGCAGCAGCAGCACTGCAACATTGAAGCAACTTGTAGGCTCTGTTATATTCGTGTCCAGCCAGTACTTCCCTTGGAATAACACCATCACACCTTAACTACTGGCTTAGCTGTCAGCCTGCCTCATCACACCCCATTTCATCCCAGGAATGCAAACCTCCTGGGCAGGGAGCTAGCTTCACATTCCAGCCCTGGTGCTAGGGAATCAAACCCAGAGCCTTGCACGCATTAGGACTTTACCACTGACTGCATCCCTGGGACTAACTAAGTAGCTCGGGCTGGCCTTGAATATGCTTGAAAGGAGAGGCATCCCTCTCCTGCCTCAGTTTCCTTAGGGCTGTGATTACAAGCGTGAACCTCTAAGGGCCCCTAGAATCAAGAGTTTTAGGTTGAGGTGTGCAAATGAGGTCTGCCAATTCTATACAATAAACCACACTATGTAGGTAGTATTATTTCCCTTTACCATCAGACCAAAGCTGGCCTCAGTAATGAATAACCCCGTAGAACTTTAAAGCCCAGAGAAATAAATCCCATGCATAAGAAGCCACCTTAATAGGAAGTCCCCTCGAGCTCAGAGAGGGCCTCCGAGATCTGCGCCGTCGTTGTCTTAGACTGTAAGGTGAAAGACCCACTCCCTTTCATTTTTGCAGCAGATCCCAGGTAATGATTTTTCATCTCTTAACAAGCTCTGGCGCTAAAGTGTCGGTGCCAGGCTCCGGGTGACAGCCTGGGAAAGCTCAGTGGCTGGGCCCCCACCCCCGACCCCTCCTGCTGCCCTGCTCTCACGCCAAACCTGGGGCCCGAGCTGAGAGCGAGCGCCGTGGGCCGTGGGGAGCCGGGGACTCACCTGCAGCAGCACGGCCAGCAGGAAGCATAAGTACATCTGGTAGAGGCCCATCTCGCCCACCGCCTGGAACGCCTCCTCCACCTCCATGGCGGACTC